TCCATATTAAGAATGTCTTTAACTGTTTCAGGAAAAATATAAAAATATAAAATATAATTATTTATTTTTATTTATTTTTCCTCATATAAAAATTATTAAAATCGCTATATCATTTTTTCCGTAAATTAAACAAAATTTAAAAAAATTTAGCCTCATATGATTTTTATAACAAAGATTAAAGGAAATGAAATATATATAAAATATCAGGATTCAGCTTGCAGTTTCGTAGAGCTATTATTATTATTATTAAATAAAAATATTAGTATATCTTTGATTATAATTAATGATCCTTTGGTCTACATCAAACTATTGTTCAAGAAGTTAAACGTTTTCGAGCATCTTCTGCTGTATTTATTATTCTATTCCTCGACATTAAAGATTTGCTAGTCTTATTCCAATTTAATTGCCCACATTTGCTAAATAAAATAAAGCGAGTATTGTATCAAACTCAGTAAGTACACAAATTTAATATACAGCTTATTCCAGTTAAATGTGTAATAGGATTTTCATAAAAGAAATTAAACTGTGTAAATTAATGTAAGTGTTGAAATGAATAAAAATAACAAATTTAATATAAGAAAATAAATAAATTATTTTGAAGATCTTTGAATCAAGAAAACATAATTTTTTGCAAAAATGCACGTAAAGATTTAGCTCACATGTTTTCAAATAAAAATTTTAGCCTCATATATGAATGCCCCTTTTTTCATGTTCGTGGACAAGGAAAACAAAGTGAAATGCCAGAAATACACTAAATATTTTGAATTAATAAACTTCATTTTCAATCTTTTTAGACTTATATAATATCCGTAAAAGTAAAGAATGAAATATACCATAAAGGCAGTAGTTTCTTTCAGAACATTCGATTCGTATAATACGCGTAAAAGTGACGAATAAAATATACAATTATGGCGGTAGTTTTTTTCAGTACATTCGGATTCGTATAATTTTCATAAAAATAGCGTGTGGAAAATAACGATCAAGAGTCAACAGTAACTTCAGCCTTTTTCATTTGTATAAATTTCGTAAAAAGTAACGTGCAAAAAATACCATACCCTTATTTCACCAAAATATTTTATACGTATATTTTTGGAGACGTGCTGCCTGGGCACTTATTAAACAAATTGTGATTTCATTGATTACTACCTGTGCGTAAGTTCCTGTAAAAATTAATATGTAAATATTTTTAAACTATATGCTGTTCCATTTAAACCTTTAAAAGATTTTTTTTACCACACCCAAGTATTAGTTACAATTTTATATGGCCAGATTATTGGGATTTCAGCATGTAACTTTCCAATGCTTTAACCCTTTAACTGTCAAGTTATTTTGATGATTTGGGTACACAAATTGTCAAATTTTTTTATTGGAAAAACCAAATGTAGCCGAAATAAACATCTCCCGATATATATTCGGGTATGACAATACGATGCACTAAAAAAAAAATTTCCCCGAGAAATACTCGAGCGTGACATTTTCGAACACCAGTGCTAATCTCGGGCATGACAGTTAAAAGGTTAAAAGTTAGTTAATTTAAAAAATTGAACTTCCTTCAAAAATTTTAGGTTGAATTAGCTGTCTCAATCTGCAAGAGTAAAATCTCAGCAGTTACTTCTGTTCATTCATAAAATCTTATTTTGTTAGATATTTTGGAAATTTGCTGCTCTATATTGAATTAGAATTTACTGGTCTTCATACTTTAATATATATACATAAACTTAAAGCATCTACAGTTAAAAGTAATTACAGCATAATGCATTTATTAAAACAATGCATGATTATTTATTCAATTTGTTATAACAAATATGATGTCTAATATTTTTTGTAATCTAAGCACATTTTATTTTTCAACTGTTATATATTTTATATTCTATGAACACATTTTTAGCATATATTTTTTTGTTTTGCAAAATCAAAATATGAAAAATAAAACTATTTTAAAATTAGTTTTTGTTCATTTGAAATAGGTTAGACATATTTAAAAAATTTCCTTTTTCCTAAAACTTCTTTTAGAATAAATTTTCACAGTATTTTTGACAAATTCTCATTAACAGTTACACAATTGCAAAATCTGCTTTTGGTTTATCTCATGAAAGAGTTTTTTTTTTTTTTTTCTCTATGTCATTTATCTATCCTCTTTTACATTACAATTTAGCATTTTATCATTGAACTATTCTAGCCTACATCGGAATTTATAATTCAGACACAAATTTAGCACACATTAGAATTTAAAATCCACAATTATTTCCATATAAAGAAAATCATCTTGTTCATATATATGTTGCCATCTACTAAAAGTTATTATAGTCAAATCTTCAGTAGCAGTTCAAACCTGTAGTATTGTTTTTCAAAAGCAGAATGGCAAAAATCATAAATGCTGGGAACCATCGTACTTAACTTATTATAAATGAATAGCATTTATTATTTTCAATGGGGGTATACATTTAAAAACTATTTTAATAGACATTAATATGTAAATTTATATTAATTTTCATTCATACTATTCTTTTGCCTTCTTAACTGAATTTTGCCTCAACTGAAAATACAACTGAGAATTAAAATGTCTTCATGATCTATATTGCTTTAATTTTACACAAAGAAAAAATTACTTGTAAAGCTGTATGATTCTCAGTGAAGTTCAATCCTTTCTCTATTATTTTTTCGTTTTCCTCCCATACTCTTTGCAGATTCAAAATTAACCGGAATAAACAAACTGTATTTGAAATAACATTAAAAAATTACACTAATATGGAAGCCAAATTGAAGGCATTGTGTACAGCATGACTGTATTACAGTCAAAAGTCGTTAATCCGGACCACAAAGCTACAAACTTTCTGCGCATGCGTGAATGCATTATGCATTTATGCATGCACATATGCCTTTACGCATGCGCGTTTAGTGTATAACGGACGGTATAAGCTAAGCTAAAATTATCTAATTATCTATTTCAGTTAATGTTGCAGATTGTGTTGTTCTTTAATCTTCGAATTGGATCCGGCTTATTATTTTTTGCAGAGTGTTAGAGCAGTTTTATAAAAGTAAGCTTGAACTTTCGATTATGTCAAATAGAATTTCTGATGCTGGATACTGCCAAAGGATCTACAAAACGAAAGAATATTTCAATGTCCATCAAACAAAAAGTGGAATTGCTGCAAAAAATGTATAAAGGAATATCCTTTGTTTCTCTAACCATTCCGAAATATGTTTATCAATTTCACGCTGCTCTGCGTGGGAGGGGAATGTCGCGGCGCCGCGCAATGAACTGGAATTTGATCTGTCAGCAATATCCTTTATCTTCAGGGCAGATGTTTTTATTTTATTCGGCTTATAGTTCATTACTATCATCTCGATGTACTCTGTCTTTGATATGATTTAAATCAAATTCATCATAAATATCACGAATACACATCCAATAGTTTTCTGGTTGCAATTTTCTAATTTTGACTATGCGTAACGTATCTTTTACGCATGCGCGCGTTGAAAGAAATGTTTAATAAAGTAAACAAATAAATATTAAGCTTTTTTTTTTTTTTTTTTTTTTTTTGTAAATTTTGATACCCTTTAGATCATAATTGTTCTTTATTTCATAAATTACGGTTTCATATTTTAAATTTTAATAATTTCTGCATGCCATCTTACCAAATTTAAACTGATGATCTATAATCCGGAAAAATCGATAATCCAGAATCGCCAAAGTCCCGACGAGTCCGGATTAAAGACTTTTGACTATACTAGATTTATAATTCAAACAATAAGTAATACAAATGTCTTTTTTTCAAATGATTCATGCAAAAACACGCCGTACAAATGATTAATGCTGGAAAACAATAATTTGGGAAACGATGGACATGGGAATAAGCAACATAATTTATGCAGGACTTAATTTGAGGATAGAAATGGCAATCAATACATGTGGGAAAACAACTGTTGCAGGAATAATAGAGTCAATTTTTTATGACTTAAGAGTATTTGTTATACTCGTATGTCATAAAACCTTGGATAGTACAAAACTTATTTATGTTTCTTTGAGTACATTTTTTGTTATATGGTCTACTTAACTAGTCTCTTAAAAGTTATGAATTTTATATCTTTCAAACACAATTAAAATTCAGAATACTTCATCTTAATGGCTATGACAAGAAACAATTTGAGTCAGGTTTAAAGTGTAGCAGAGATATATTTTCATAATGGTACATATAAATCTCATCACAGAAGTGTACGGAATATAGCATGACTGACTTTTATGTTCATTAGCTTTTCTTAATATGCAGTAAGCAATTTGACAGAAAGAGATTTTTTAAATAAATTCAGAAGTTAAATAAAACGAATTTATATGAAATCTTCATATTCATAACATTGGTGTTAAAAATAAGATTATTTAAATTGAAGAGTGCTTTCTTTCGCAGAACTCTGGAACATGATCTGTTCAAATAAATAAACATTTGATTCACTGTACTAGATTGTCTTAAAGCAGTGCCTTATACATTTCTGTGTTTTGCATTATTTTTTCATATGTAAGAAAATGGCTTTTTTTGCTAATCACCTGACTTGTGTCTAACCATACATTTTTTGGGTCTTGCACAATTTGTTCATATATATATACAAATGACATAGTTGGTTATCAGCTGACATTTCAAAGTAAATCTGTGTTTTGCATTATTTTTTCATATGTAAGAAAATGGCTTTTTTTGCTAATCACCTGACTTGTGTCTAACCATACATTTTTTGGGTCTTGCACAATTTGTTCATATATATATACAAATGACATAGTTGGTTATCAGCTGACATTTCAAAGTAAATATGCACCCTGCATGATGAAAAAATATAAGAATACTAAAACTTGAACATTTATTCTACAGTAAGGGATGTAACTGTATGTCATATGTTTCACTAATTACAATAATGGTGTACACGTTCATAAGCTAATTACGTATATGATAAATTATAGCAGATATACAACTAAAATAAAGCAAAGATATAAAAATTATTAAGTACTTTTATTGCTTTTACATATAGCTCAGTCCGTTAAATGATTAGGATTTTGTTTAACATAAAAGAAAACGATCCTATATATAGTTGTACTTTACTGGTAATATAATTAGATTCAAAATTTCAAGTTAATATAATGACAATATGTAACAACTTCTAATTTATGAGTAACACACTATAATGTAATAAAGTGAAAGACTGCATGCAACAGATTCATTTAATATTTACATAGGTAGAAGTAAATACATTTTATTAATAATATATTACCTTACTCTGATAATTTAATATGTAATATAATATAAGATATTTCAAAATAACACCTACAAATTCTGAGAGCAAATAGAGAATTCAGAAACACATAAATAGATATGCTATCAAAATGTAGCAAGTGGACTGTTCACTAAAGCTCCATAGAAACAATCTGTCGTTTCTTCATTAAAGTTTGTCGACTGTGGTAGTATCAGTTTGCAGATGTGGAGAAGGCAGACATGCACCTGATGTATTTCTTAGCTTGAGGTAACAGACATATTGCAGAAGTGCTGTATTAAAAAAGATAACCAAACAGATATGTACTTGAACACATGTTTATGAATTTGTATCAAAATTTGTGTAATTATGGGACATACAGATACAGCAGATCAGTGCAAGCTGGACTCAAATAATATTTATTTTTATCAGCACAATGCTATGTGAATTTAAAAGAACACGAACTGTGTAGCACAAAATGCTTTTTGACTAATGTCTGGCAGGCATGGTAAGTGATTAATTAGTTGTGTCATATCGGTTACCATACCATGTAGATTTCCATCGGATCTTCAAAAAATTTCTGCTGGGCATATTAGCCAATGTCTGCACTACTAACAGTGCTACAGCCTATTATGACAGTTGTGTTGTTACCACATGCAGGTCTTTTGGCCCTTGATGGCTGGGCATTGTAATTCATCAGGTTTATTTGGAAAACAGATTTCTTTTCGTGAGTGACTTAAAGGAATGATGTATGAAACGCCCAGTAACTCTGATGTGGTACTCATGGCCAGAATTAATACTGCTTTTGCTACTATATGAAATTAGACAGTTCAACCATGTCTGGTAGTCAATGTGATGTTTATATGAAGCATATATTGCTGCTAATTTTGAACATTGATGTCATCTCTATATTCAACATTTACATTAAACTGTTCTATTAAGTTAAAAATTGTCCCACTACTGTCTGACCTATGTTATTTCTTTAACTTGTGTTTTCTTAGCACTTTCCATTAGTCTCTGCACCACAGTGGTAAACTTAAGTGATAGTGTTCCTTTCATATCCTCGTGCTCTCTATATCTGTAGGTGCAATTCTGAGAAACCCTTTATATTTTATATTATACTGGAAATAACTGTCACATTATCCTTTCTCTAAAGGGATCAAGTATTCGTATGCACATATTCAAGAAAAACAATTTTGATATATACAGTTTTGGTCTTCTCAATTTATTGAAAATGATTCATACATCTTGAAATGAAAATCAAAAATGGGAAAAAAATATTGAATCAATTTAGTGAATGGAATAACCTTCTTTTAGTAAAAGTTTTCAACCTAAATCTTGCTTCATATTCCTAAGTCATTGCTTCTACTTGATAAAGCAATCTATACATACATATAGCATTTTTATCAACACAATTCACTCCTTTTTCCTGAAAGGAAGAAAAACAAAAATGAAATAAACATCAAGTTTACATCTTACAAGCTCATTATCATTTTTAATATATGCATATATATTTAGATAGATCAAAGACTAAAAAATAATAAATACTATCAATGTTAAGCAAAATCAATTAATTAAAAAAGAAAGAAATTATAAAATTAATATCAACGTAAAGTGGTAAACTAACTTGAGAAAAAATACTGAAATAAAACTTTTATTCTGTTTTACAAGTTTTTGGTTTGTTTATAATTCATATGCCTTTCTGTTAGATAGTTTACCATTCTCGGTTAATATTCATTCTGTATTATATTTCTTTATTACACATACACATTTTATATATATCTGGTTTTAACAAAAGTTTCCTGCCACCACAAATATTTGTCTGCGCAAACAGTTTTCGTTGGCATGTTTAATCATATTTTGTCAAACGATTTTTGGCATTTGGATGAAAAAAAAAAAAAACTTGCTTTAAAACACTGTTGTGAAATTTGTAAAAGAAATATCAATATCATTAAGTACAAGGTATCTGAAATAGAACTATCATGTTACCAGATTAGAACCATGATTTACTTCCAGTTCTGTTGCAAAAAGTCAGCTACAGAATGTCACCCAACCATATGGGCAGCTTAAGGTACTAATGTTGTATCATATAACACTGTGAAGGTTTAGTACCAAAAGTTAAAAAACAAGGACATTAGTAGTAGAAGAACTGTACATATAAAGGTCTGAAAATGTTATTTATATAAGGTATGAATTTACTAACAGGCAGTCAAATATGCAATCAAAAAAGGGCTGCCTTGTAAACCTGAAGTTCTATCTCATTTAATAAAATTTTAATTTTGATAAAAATGTAATCTTAATCATTTGAGGCTCTGCAAATTTAAATCAAATATAGCAAAGGAAACATAAAAATATTATTAGCTGAAAAAATTTACTATTAGAACTTTTATGCTGATCTCAAAATGACAAAGACATTCCTAACAGAAATGCATGTGCAAGGCAAGTTGCCAGAACTGTTCGGTTTGAACATGGCTGGACAGGGTTACCAGAACAAGAAACAAAACAAATGTAAAAAAAGGAAAAATGAAAGGACATTTAAGATTGTGTTTTTGGCAAGCTCTTGGCTGAATATTCTCAGTCCAATCCTGTGGTACTGTCTAACAGCAGCATGGGAAAGCTCCCAGAGATCACATAAGGTTGTTTTTAAGATAAAATAGCGAATGATTTTTAAACTTTAGAAATTCAATTTAAACTAATCCTGGGAGAAAAAAGCAGAGGAAAGAATTAAAGGATGTCAGGTGAAAAAGATTAAAGTCTTCGTGTAAATGAGCGGTAATACATATTTGAAAAGAAATTGGCCCTCTGTTAGTAACAGGAAAGGGGCCAAATTAATTTTTCCTAAAACGAAAAAACTGAGAAAGTACATACACATTTACAAGAGATTAACTACATGTAGAGGTTATATTTTACAAAATATTGATTATATATATATATTAAATTACTCATAATAGCCATCCTACTTTACCCACTTCTTGGTTGAGGATAAAATAATCATATCACTGTCAACAATTAATTTCAAAATTGTAGTTTATGCCTGATTTTTTTAATGTTTGGCAAATTTTAAATTTAGGTGTTCTATTCTCTATAAGAAGATAAAAGTGAAACTTCTTGAAATATTTATCTAAGATAAAAATATGTTAATCAAAACTGTAACTTTACTTCGTGGCATTTCATTTAAGTCTTACAAATAGGTTATAATGATTCTATGTTTTATACCTTGTTTCAACATGTACTTACGTGCTCAGTCTAAAGCAGCGATTCTCAACCAGTGGTACGCAAAAGAAAATATTTTTAACCATTAAATTCAAAAATTAAATACCCCAATACCCTGAATATTTTCTTTAGCATTCGTAAATTTATGCAATCTGAACTCTGCTAAAGGTCAATAGCCGCTCACAGACTTCAGCAAAATAATATGTTTTTATTTTCACAAATATTCTTTTAGCCATACATGTAACAAAATTTGTCAAAAATGATGATTTTAAAAAGAGTAATAGAAATGAATGTTGTATTTAATAGGATTTAAAAACAAGTTCCTATAAAAAGATATCTCATTAATTCTCTAGAGTATCTATTCCCTATAGTATCTCATTCATTCTTCCACAGTTCATCGATTAATTACCATGTCTATACTTTATATCGCTACCATTTCTGGGCTCATACTGCTCTATGTTCAATTAGAATCTTTTTTTTTTTACGTCGATTTGGCGTCTCTAACAGCAGGCATTTTGTTCTCTTGTTGCTTTGCATTCCTTTTCTACGCATTTGAGAATATCTTCATTTGTTTTTGAAAAACTCTTAATATATTGTGCATTTAAATATTTGTGAAAAATAATAAAACAGATCTAGATTTTCAAAATGAAAGAATGGCTAGGATTGACTAAGTCGAAAAGTGATGATTCACAGGTGGATTCAGGACAATTTACTAGGACTAAGAATATTGAAAAAGAAAAATTGTTTGTAAAAAAATATATAATGACGTTATTTATCATTTGGATTTACTTGAAATGTACCCTCAACCTCAATGTGTTGTTTTCGGTGAACTATTATTCAAAGTATGAAGCCATCATTTCTTAAAAGACATCTTGAATCTAAGCATTCCAATTTAAAGGATAAATCTAAAAAATTATGGAGTTCAAACGTAGTAAAGAAGTAATGAAAGGCTTTCATCACTTCAAGTGAAAAAGCTTTCGAAGCTAGTTACCTAGTAAGCCTTAGAATTGCCCAAACTTCAAGTCGACGAATTCATGAAATGACAAATTACATAAAAGACATTTATTTTAAAAATAAATTGCAGCGAGTATTTCGCATTGCAGTTGGATGAAAGTATTGATATAACAAACTTTGTTCAGTTATTAGTTTACATATGTTTCGAAGAAGATAAACAAGTTGCTGAAGAGTGTTTATTTTGCGAATCTCTTCGTGATAGAGCAAAGCAAATGAAAATTTCAAAGTAATTGACAATTTTATGTCAGAATGATATTCCTTGGATTAAGTACATTGTCGTATGCAGTTACAGAGGCGAGGCTTTAACAGGAAAACATACCGGTGTGATTTCTCAAAGAAAGAAAGTTGAACTTAAAAAATAAATTTACTCACTCCTGATCCACTCATTGTGAAACTTTAGTAGTCAAAACAATCCCCGAAAACCTGAAAATCATTTTAAATTAAGCGAAAATTGTTAATTTTAAAAAGGCGAGATTTAAATTTAAGAATATTTATGATTTTTTTGCCAAGAGATGGGCAGTGATAAGGAAACGTTTTTGTTTCATTCCAAAGTAAAGTGGTTATCCCAGAGGTAAAGTTTTAAATCATCTTTTTGAACTTCGAACAGGAATTCCAATTTTCCTCCTCGATTCAAAATTTGAATTCCAAAATTGTTTTTTTAGTGAATTATGGTTAGCACATTAAGGATATTTAGCTGATATTTTTGGAAAGTTAAATGAATTAAATTTAGGATTAAAAGGACAACATGCTAATTTATTAACCATTAGAAATAAAATAAATGCAATGACAAAAAAAAAAAAAAAAAAAAAAAATCAAGCTAATAATCAAAGAATCTGACAATAATATTTTTTATGCTTTTTATCACTTTTAGAAAGTTTTATACCTGAAATTAATTTGAAAATAAAAAAAGAATTAGCATCCGACATTAACAATTCTTGTTTTTCATTAATAAATAATTTCAACATGTATTTTTCCCAAGGATTACGGGGGAAAAAAAAAATGTACCTGAAATTTTATCTCATGAAGAAAAAGGAAAAATGATAAAATTTTCCTGTGGTCAAACTCAAACTAAAGATTTCAAAAATAACACATTTATTAACTTTTGGCTGAACCCCCCCCAAAAAAAAAAGAATTTAAAGGCATTTCAAATAAAGCTATATAGATACACAGTACAAAGTCCAAAATCGGGACTCATCCGGACTTCGGCAATTCCGGATACTAGATCATCAGTTTAAATCTAGTAACATGGTATGTCGAAATTATAAAATTAAAAATATGAAAAAATGAAGTATTTATGATCTAAAGGGTATCAAAATTTACAAAAAAAAAAAAAAAAAAAAAAAAAAAAAAAAGCTTAATATTTATTTGTTTACCTTATTAAACATTTCTTTCAATGTAAGTTGTTTTAAGTTACTTTGTTTTTTTGTGCTAATATTTTCTCTTTAATTCTGTAGACAATCTCTAGTTTAGTTACATTATTGAAGTTCTGTAACTGCTGTTTCGAGAATTCCAACTAACTTGTCAATCCGAATTTTGTCGTTTTCAGAAACTTCTCTGTCACCTTCTTAACTACAGATAGCGGCATTTTCTAGATCTAGAACCATATTACAGATTTCTCCATTCATTAATTGATCGATGATTGAGAAGCATTGTCATCACAATGAAATTTTTTTTTAGAATCATCTTCATTTATTACCGCTTCTTCACATTTCTTTACAAAATCCGTTAACTGGAAAATTTCACCTTTGTTTTGCTATATCCGAAAACCTTTAAAAATAGTGGCTGTCATCATCAAATTTAGCTATCCTTGCATCATGAGCTTGGCGACTAATGACAAGTTGTTCTGTTAAATTTTATCTTGCTTCTATTGCACACTGAAACAATAAAGCCTGAATTGTATTAGTTTACTTATTTATTATACTTATGTCTATTTCTTGCACATGCTTAAGGCTCATCAAATAAATAAATTCCCACATATACTTAAGCCTTATTGAGGACCGGCGCTAGATATCTTATCGCCTGAATGCAGTTTCTGTGGGTCCTAAATTCTGGAACTCAGTGCGGGCTTACGAGCCCTGGCACAGGTTCTGGGTTTATGTGAATAACAAATCAATTAATCTTAATTAAAATAGTCCTAAATGTAATCTTTGGGTCTATGAGTATCATCAACAAAATTTCTTTTCAGCATATGGAAAGAAAGTT